GGTGTTACCAGGTTTATTGTGTGATCATTTCAGAGACAAGTAAAAATTATAGTGTCCAGGGCTGGAGATTTAGCTCAGTGGTACCACACCTGCCTTGCAAATACAAGGTCCTGATTTCAGTCCCCGGTACCCCCCGCAAAATTCTAGTGTCTTTTGTTGACTGTTTCTTTTTTTTAACTTTGAACTATGTCACACATGAAGTAATACGTGGTTAACACATAAAGTCCATCTCATTCTTTTTTGTGGTTGTATTGCACTCTGTTGTATTATGTATTATTTTTATTTTCAGTCAAACTGGATAATAAAACTATGTAGGGGGGAAAAAAGACCAGTAATCTGCCTTCTTTCATTTTACAGCAAAAAAGAGGCCCACAAAGATTGCCTAGGTGACTAATGGCAAATCTAAATGACTAAGCTCTTCAAATCCAACTGCATGTGTAAATAAATAGGTAGGATGTGTGCCTAAAAGTAGAATTGCCTGTTTTGTCATTTTAGTAGATTTTGCCTGATTTGTACTCCATAGATTGTACAAATTTATATCCCCCTCACCATTAGTACATCTGTTTTCCGAGGCCATCACAAACAATGTTATCAACCCTTAGATTGTTTATAAATCTTAAAGATAAAAAGTGGTATCTTAATCAGTTTTAGTTTGCTTTTGTCTTCAAATGTGTATCGGTTTTTTTGTCAGTATAATGAGACATCCCACACAGGCTACTTGGAAAGAAAAAGATTTCTATAGCTCAGTCTTGGAAGATCAAAGTTGGAGATGTGTAGGTGGGGGCAGAGAGGGAAGAGGCAGGGTATGGGGTGCGGGGTGGGACTGGCTTATCATGGTGGGAGCTCAAGTAGGAATAAGAAGAAAATACAGAGAAAGCAGAGACAGAGAAGAGGGTCACTAAGGTCCCACAATCGTCTTCAAGGTGTGCCCCTCTCACTGACCTAGGGACCTCCTCTTAAAGGTTCTACCATCTCTCCAAACTGCCACCCTGGGAACTGCAACCCAGGGGCAGGGCAGAAACCATATTTAAACCACAGCAGTATTCATACGGACAAAGACATTTTTATGTGTTTAAACTTGATTTACCTTTCTGAAGATGTTTATACTTCTGTACTTTACCCATTTTCCTGTTAAACTTTTCACTTACTAATTATAGAAACTTCTTATATAATAGAGCAGTAGCTTTTTGTCTGAGGTGGGAGCTGTAAACTTTGCACTGTTGGTCTTTTACTTTGATTTTGACTTGCTTGGTAGATGAATTTATAAATCTTGCAAAATCTACTTGTAAATTCATGTTCTGTTTTGGTAAGCATCTTCTCTAAGATGATTTTTGTAAATACAGGGGCCATATTTCTTACGGTATGTTTATGGTTTTATTTATTTATTTTTGTGGTATTGGGGATCGAATGAAGGGCAATTGCACTGAGCTATATTCCCAGCCATTTCTATTTTTCCTTTTCAGACGGTCTTGCTTAGTAGCTAAATTGCCCAGGCTGGGCTCAAGCTTGAGGTCCTTCTGCCTCAGCTTTCCAGGCTCTAGTCAGTAGTCTGTTATTTGTCAGCAAAGTCATTTTAATAATTTCCAAGCACAATTAAAAGCTAGTCTAAAGGTGTCTGGACCTTAATATAGTTTCCTATTCTCTGGTCCAACTTAGAAACTACCATATAAAGCGTGTTCTCTCAAACAGGATTTCTATGAATTAGGGCTCCCTTCTCATTCTCCCTACAGCCAAAGAGCTGGCCTTACAGGCATGCACCACCACAAGAGGTTTTTACATTCAAATATTTGACTCATTTGAAATTGATCTTGATCTAATTCAGGAGAATGTCTTGACTTTCTTTTCCCATTGACAGTTGTTCATTCCAGCAACACAGACAATTAAGTAATCTTTTTTCTTATTGATTTAGGAAAGCACTATTTTTATATACCATCTTTTTATATATTTTGGGTTAATTTCTTTACCTTTTATTTCATTTTATAGGTATACCTGTAGACATTTGCTACCAGTATATGCTCTAATTATTAGCTGTAATATAGTTATAAAAGAATTGATTTCTTCCTTAGCAAAACACATTTTAAGAGTAACTATAATTTGCTTCCCATTTATATTTCTGCAATAATTTATGTAGTCAATATTCATATGATAACATCTTGTTTTTCTCCAGTTGTCAATCAATTGGCTGCCCCATGTGTAATATTAGAAAATTGGAAAATTTAAAAATAACTATATACATTTAGCTGAGATTTTGAGGGGCAGGCTTCCCATAATTACCATAATGAGATCTGACAAAAGAGGACATCTTTGAACAAAAGCTTCTAAGGAGCAATGGTGAGGGATTCCATTGGACTGCGGAGCAGAAGGGTTCTGTGAGGACAGGAAGGGCGTGTCCGTAAAGCCTGGTGACAAGTGCACACTGAAATCAGTGGAAGAGAGATGTGATCTCGCAGGTCCTGTCATTTCACTCTCTGGTTCACGGCAGTTCCTCGATGCGTAGGAAATGAAACTGAAGAAAGTTAAGCTAGCGAGGGAAATCACACGATTTTTCTCTTCTCCAGGGCAGACTGTAGTTGTATGAAAACGATTTTTTTAAGTGTCATTTCCTTGCAATGGGCTTCTTGGCAAGAAATCAAATCTGCATAATGCATTACCTCTGAATTTTTCTTGAACTCAAGGGTAGACATATGGACAATAGTTTAAAAATACAAATATGATCTTTCCAGTCATAGAAACCTTCTCATCCAAGAGGTGCTTTTCTTGTTCTCCAAAAAATACACAGAGACAGACTCATACTCATAAAGCCCCAAAGCAAAATACATAGTATTTGACACTAAAAAAACATCTCCCCAGACTTTTTTTGAGTACTGCAGCTCTGTGATCAGACGGAGTGATGTGCAGTCAAATCCAGATGCCAAGTGGTTCTGCCATCTTCAAGGCACCGAGCCCTATAACTAAGCCTCTGTGTTTGGTAAAATTACAGCAGAGATGCTGTTTGCTAAGAGATTTTATTTTAGAACCTACAGTTTGTCTAGGAAAATGGCTGTCACTTGGTTTGCTCCCATACTCATCCCATCTGTCTATGTGTATGAGTCCAGGGAGATGTGCATGTTTGTGTCAGTGCAGGGACAAGTGTCCACTACCACTGCGTTGTAGACTGCCCTGATCGGTGCAGGAGTTTATTTGTGTAGTCCATGCCGGTGACATTTGATACTTTCTGGTTTGTGCACCCATATGTGTTGGTAGTTTGGGATTTATGAAGGCTCCTTTGGGAAAGGACATTGCCTCTGTAAGATTGGTTTTGAGAAGAGTTCTGCCTAAACAGAACTGCAGACTTCTTTTATCAAACATGCAAATATGAGCTTTATTGGGATGAGATTTGCTGATGATAATACAAGATAAGGACTGCAAATACAAGTTGCATAATCAAACATATCATGAATGACTTAAATAGTACAGTCACAGGGATATGTCAGATATCACTGAAGGAGATAATTATATTTTTATGAAGTGGAGAATGGAAAATACTTGCTAGATTTCCCTGGTAAAATGCGAGTCCTTCAAAATTAAAGGCAATTCTTAGTATATCTATGTATTTCCAGCACAGCGCCTGGCACTTAATTCTTAATGAATAAATAAGGGAATGAAACTCATTTTTAAGAAACTCATTTTTAGAAAATGAAACTCATTTTTTAGAACCTAAAGAGATTAAAATCTTTCTTGGAAACAGATAATGTATATGCATGCCCATACTTGCTGCTGTACTTTGATTGAAAAGGGTACTTTAGTGTTCTTTTCCTCCAGCAATCCTTGAATTGATTAGTCAGGAGAGGTACTGAAATCTGTCTGTACGGAACTATAGCGGTGGATTACAAAGTCTCTCCCGAACCCGGTTTTTAATTCCTGTGTAGAAAGTAGGGACAAATGGCTGAATAAAACATCTCAGAACATTGTGACTAAATTTACTATCACTAGGAGAAATCAATCAAAGAATTATCTAAGAACAAATTAAAGAATTCTCCCAGGGCTGCTACTGCCTTTGGGACACCTTCAAACTAGATCATGCTGATTGATTTTTATATTTCCAAGACAATGACCTGTTCTTAAAAACAAACAAACAAACAAACAAACAAACTCCACATTTAGCTCTACCATAAAGGTATAAATTCTATACTAAACTTGAGTTTCCTAGTCACTTTGTTTAGGACCAGGTTGTGGTTAAATGGTAGGATTTTTCTCAAAGGTGGCAGGTGTGAGTTTCAGAGCAGTTAAGAAGCTTGTGGCTCAGGAAATTGAGTGCCTTCTCCAATTTTGTGCCAGAGATGGTACAAAGGCTTCAGGTTTCTGATTCCCTGAATAGTGCTTTCCTGCCACACTTTGGATTATAGAAAGCCATTTTTAAAAAAAATATGTGCTCCTAAAACATTTGGTCCCAAGTTGTTTTTTAAATTTGATATATGTTCCCAAAACATTTAAAATTTTGATGTATTGACATCAGGGACACATTGTTTCAAAGCCAGCCTGTCTTTGTATATAAAGTTTTCCTAGAACACAGTCATACCAATTCATTTATGTGCTGTCTCTGTTACTGTGCTGCAGTGGTAGAATGACTCATTGCATTGGTGACCATAATGACTTGCAAAAGCCTGACATATTTAGTATTTGAACAGAAAAGTTTGCCAAGCCTTGGTATAAAGAATGGTGAGATACCTTAAAAATTAACATTGCCATGCTCTCTGAAGAAGCTAAAAACCTAGCTTGTTGTTGAGAGATAAAAAATATCTGGCTCTGAAAGACTAAGCTACGTGCTTGGGTTGAAAATGAAAAGGTCTGGGGTTTCTAGGGAATCCCTGAGCTTCTAGACTGAGAGATTTTAGTTGCCACAATGAAGCCAGTGACTTAACTCACATTAACTCCGAATGGGAAATGCTTTAGACTGTCATTTATGTTATGTTCACTCTGATGGAACTCGAACACTCAGCAAATGTTCACCCTCTTGGCAGGTGGAATGGATCCAACAGCAAGTAGTGAAGAAACGGACAAAGAGGGATTATGACCTCAGCCGTGCCCAGTCTACCTACTTCAATGATCCCAAGTGGCCCAGCATGTGGTACATGGTAAGTTAGGCCTGGGCTAGAGCCCTGCCATCCTGTCCTGCGTCATCCTGACTTAAGTTGTATGGAGACAGTCTTTTGGCACTGGAGGCACAAAAATAGTAACCTGAGATGTGTTTCGATCACAAGATTCACTGTATAAGATTAGCTAATGGCCTATAATGTTTTGTGGATTTAAAAAAATAAAACTAGCTCTTTGGCTGTAAGGAGAATGAGAAGGGAGCTCTAATTCATAGAAATCTTGCTTGAGAGAACACGCTTTATATGGTAGTTTCTAAGTTGGACCAGAGAATAGAAAACTATATTACTGTCCAGACACCTTTAGACTAGCTTTTAATTGTGCTTGGAAATTATTAAAATGACTTTGCTGACAAATAACAGACTACTGACTATGTCATGTAATGTGTACCCTCTCCCTGTGAGTACTATTTTTTAAACATAGACCAGAAAAATAGTAGAAAAATGTGTCATTCATAATTAGTTCAGTGGCTCAAGTGAAAGATATTTCAGTGAGAGAGACTTGCTTAATATGTTGGGAAGAGTGATCTACCAGTTCATTTGACACTACCTCCTTTGGAAATACGCATCTCTAGTCTTAGGTTGTGACTTCATAATTACTGAGAAGTAGATTAATATACATTACTTTCACTTTGCTTCTGTTGTGGTACTGAGGACTGAGTCCAGGGAGCACAGAGCTACATCCCCATCCCCTTTTATTTTTTATTTTAAAACAAAGTCTTGCAAAGTTGCCTAGGCTGGCCTTGAACTTGTGATCCTCCTGCCTCAACTTGCTAAGTGGCTGAGGTTACAGGCTTTTGCCATCAGTTCCTAGCATACTGCTTATGCTTAATCATGAAATTCAGATGCCATCAATTTGATCTACAAAACATTCTTTACGTTTTCTTGAACATTTTTATTGCTGAATACTGCCAAAGTATTTTCTACTCCAATACTGCTTTTTCTGTAATCCCAGTTCTTGATTTGCTACAAAATGTCTACAAACTGATGAAAAAAAAGACATGAATCCATAGTATTTCCAACATCTTCTCTACCTTTTTCCGGTTCCTAGCCTTTCATTTATCCTCTTCAGGGCCCTCTCCCTGCCCTTCTCTGCCTGTGCTCTGCTCTCCTCTTTTACCCAACGCTGAGTTCTCCAGAAGCCCCCCACCCCGCCCTGTCTTAGCCCTTCTGCTGGTACCCAGGCCTGCATCTGTGTTGTTCATGGCATTCATCACTTGGCACTTCTTAATCTAGTTATTAAGACTGTTTCAAATCTCTTCTGGATGGGGGAGGGCACCTTTTGAAGATAGGCTCTACATTTTGATTTTTTTAAACAATGCAAACAGTCTCTGCTTCTTTGGAGGTGGGCTACTGCATTGGATATGATTCCCGATCCCTTCTTTCTTGGTCTTATCTAGAAGTAGGAGGCTGTGAAATATTTTAGTCTCCGAACACAGTTTTACACAGAAAGCTCTGTCGTGTCTAAGGAGGCAAAGAAAGAAGACATAAAGCTAAGCACAAGGCGAGGTGGGAATCAAGATACATTTAAGAAGGATTCACCTAAGGGGACAATGAGACACATGACAGCTTATTAAAACCAAGAAGGAGTGAGCCACAAGGGAAGGCATTGGAGCAAGTGTTGGCGGGAGCCAAGCAGTTTTGTCTGTCTGCACTGACAAAATGATAAGAATATAATGGGATTAAGAAAGACGGGGGCAAAAGTGCCTCTAAAGCCCTGTTTTTGACCAGGATGAAGGACACTTTCCTTGCCTTTCATTTCTTCTCAGGAGAAAGCCGAGCTGCTGTCTGTGCGTGTCCCGCTGGAGGGTGGAAATGTGTGGGAGCTTTCCTTGGTCCTCTTCTCATGCTACCAGGGCGAGCTGGACCCCAGGAGCCAAGCCCACGGCATTAGCACCTTGGCCTGGCCAGTGGCTGCCTCCCAAAGAATCGCTTGTTTCACTGGAACTGAGCTTTGCTTGGTTCATTTAAAATGTTGGGAAGGTTTTCAACACTTATTTGATGATGATAATTCAAATAGGTAACATATATTGAGCACTTACTCTAGGCAATGTACTAAGTACTTTGAGTATTTTTCTGGTTCAGTGCAAACAAGAGTGAGTGTTAACGTTGGCCCCGTTTGTATGAGTGAGGGACCTGAGCCCCATGAAGCGTAGGTCACCCCTCCAGAAGCCGCACAGCACAGATGCTAAAGAAGACAGGTTGATGCCAGAGTCCACCAGAGGAGCACAGTGTCCTATTCCTACCTTTCTGCTACTTACAGCGCTCTCTGGAAGACACTAATACTGCCCATAGGAAGCTCTGTTTGTACAGAGTTGACTAAGTTACAAGGTGAGATGGCAGGTGCCCAAGTGGGACGAGCACCATGTCTTTAGGAAACCAAAGTGCTTGAAGGATTCCTACTTAAATGGTTACTTGTCTCCTAACAAAAGGTTGAGAAATAGGTTTCATGCCTTGTGTTTGTCTGTCCAGAATAGCACGAAAGAATGAGAGCTGGGACTCCCAAATCTGTAAACCTGGATTCAAAATGTATTAGTTGTCTATTTCTGGGTAATAAAAACTGTGGGGTGGTGAATTTTATTTCAGTACTGGGTATTGAACCCAGGACTTTTGTACTGAATTACATCTCCAGCTCTTTTTATTTTGAGACAGGCTCTGGTCTCCCAGAGTGCTGGATTACTGATGTGTGATACCACGCCTGCCTTCAACTTAATTTTCAGAAGAGTATAGAGGGTTATGTGTGCTAGGAGGCAAGGAACTTTGAGGCTAACTGTCACAGCTTAAAGCAGTTTTGCATGAGAAACCTCTAGCAACATGCTAGATTGATGCTAGAATACCTTCAATAAATCATCATTGTTATCATTTTTCTTTGACTGCTTAATTGTAACACATGCTGTTGTGTTTTTAATCTGTTGTTTTAATTGCTACTAGTCACAGAAAGGGAAGATGCTCTTTTGGAGCACTCACAGCAGAGGCATGGTACTCATTTCTCTCTTCTTCCTTTTCCAGAGCCCTGGGCCCTGATGTGGTTTCTGAGGGTTGTTGGTTGAGTCTCCATAGGCCCTGTCTCCAGCTTGTTAGCCTGGGCTTGCTCTCGTCGTTCCATATTTATCACAGGAGAATGGAGATTAAATAATGGCATGAAGTGTGCCTGGGTGTCTCTTTTAATTAATTTGAAAGCTTTCCCCATGTCACTCCTCCCCTTGGAAACTGATGTGCAAAACCCTTATGTCTAGCCTTGAAGCTTGGGCGATGTATTCAGGGAAATATACATTTATGAGAGTTTGCTATGAACAGGATGGCTGTATAATTACTCTTCAGTCTTGTCATGCTGTGCTCCAGGAATTGGAGGGCCCAATTCTAGAAATACAACTCACTTCTCATTGCATTGACAAGCTTCTCCTTCTATTCTTTATCACACCATGCAGGGGGAGTTTAGGAAGACATGGTTTGTGCCTCCGAAGATCAGTGAGGCAGAGACAAAGGAGGCACCAAAGGAGCCTGTTGGGCAAGAGATGCTTCTCTAAAAGCTTCTGGAATCATCCAGCCACTGTACATTTGGCTGTGGTGTTTGTTTGCAGGTTGGATCATTTATGTTTTGGAATGAATGGGGGCCCAGGCAATGGGATTGCATCTGAAATATCTGGGTAATTTCAACGTGCAGTACGTGGTGAATGTTCAATAAATGTTAATTGCATAAACGAATGAGCAAATCTGTGATAACCTCTACAGTGGAGAAATAGTTGTTCACATTTACTAAGTGTTTAGTATGTGCAAAGCATCTTACCAAACTCCTTTTATGTATTATCTTATTGCCAACGTTCCAGTGAATTAGAAAGTATTATTGTCTTCATTTTTTGGATGAGGAAATTAAAGCCTAGAGAGGTTAAGTAACTTGCAGAAGGTCTCCTCCTTCATCGTGGGCAGACCTTAATTATTCTGCACCCAGAAACCCGGGATTACATTGTCTATCTACATCTGGGATTCTTAAGCTAATGAGCATCTGAATCACTTGTTTTTTTTTTTTTTTAAGGTATGGGGGTTGAACTTGGGTCCTTGAGCTTGCCAGGTAGGCGGCGGAACCACTGAGCTAAATCCTCACCCCCCCCCGCTTAAAAGATTGCTGCTTGTCCTCTAACTCTCAACCCTCCCAGAGTCTGGGAATTTGCGTTTTTAGCATGTTCCCCATTGATGCTGATGGTGGGGTACAGGAACCCCTTGGAGAATTCACCGTTTTGCCAGGTTGTATGAGGAGAGCTTGCCTTTGTCTCTCAATTACCAGACAGAAAAAGAAGAGCTTTCAAACTTACAGGCCATTTTAAAGCACAGTTAGCCGATTTAACTTTTTCTTGATCTCACTGTAACTTTTTTTTTTCCTGACGTTTTCTACTTAAGAAGCTGGCAGCTTTGGCATGGAAGATATTTTCACTTTACCTGCATTGATAGGAACTGTCCTTGGCTTATATACTTTTTTCAAGCCTCTCCAGCAACAAAGGACATCTGGTAGGAAAGGTCATGAAGATTTGGCCTAGCCTTTGGGAACTCGATGTACTAGAACTGGCTTTAACGTACTTCACTAATGCAGTGGACCATTTTCACACTACTAAAGAAAATCCAGTTTGACTCCAGAGACAACTAGGTATATTAAGAATCTTCCCGAAAAACCTGAGAATGTCAATACAGCTAGATCATTAATTTGCTATTTTATTTATTTACTAATTTATTTTTGGTACTGGGGATTGAAATATTTAAAAAGTTATTATTATTAAATGTTTAAGACACGCAGGAAGTTTAAAGAGTACCACAAATGCCTGTGTGTGTGCAGGTGCAGCATAACCCATATAATTGGAGTCACCTGTGATTCTGATCTTTCTAGCCACCCTTCATCCCTCTAGAGCCATCTCAGATGATAAGTTTGAAATACAGTGTGGCAATTCTTCCTTATGGGCAGAAGCTTCTCTTTGTGAGAGGGGTTACTCAGTTGA